TTTGGAAACACTTACTTACAGCTATCGGCTGTGTTGGGTACCAGGTCACTGTCACATCACAGGTAATGAAAAAGCTGACGAATTAGCTAAACGCGGATCTCCATCTAAAGATCTAGCAATCGAGGTCTCAATCAAACCACCCATCAGTCACCTTTTTCGGAACTTTGATGCTTTCGTCATCGAACTCTGGCACAACGAACCTAGGTGCAATGTGTCAAGATCTATCTGGCCGACTCTGTCAACCTAGAGAACAAACTCGCTTTTGAACCTGTGTAAAGCTGACAGGAGTCATTACTGGTCATTGCAATATCAGGGCCTTTACCAGTAAGTGGGACTCTGTGTTGACGATGAGACGGAGACAATTGAGCATATCCTATGTTGCTGTCCAGTCCTATCCTACAGAAGACACAGACTGGTGGTTGCTCACTTTTCACCGTGTGTAAGCTTCTATTCAACTATGGAACCTCCTTTAATCTACAGCATCATTAGAAACCTTAAGTGGTTGGAAAAGTGCAACCTTGGTACGTAATATATCTTCTGTCCGAACTTCTACACCTACCTACTCATACTTCCTTCTTTTACAGCTTATTAATTTGTCTTATTTCTTCTATCCCTTTTCTTCTACCCTACAGATCTCTCCATATCTTTTATGGATGATCACAATGGACCAGTTGGTCTCAGAGTGCCACATTAGTGACTGCACATCCCCAAACCTAACCTAACCTTATTGATTAGAATAAAATTCAATGCCGATTTACGGCGCCTATCAGTCTGTTGAAATCACGATAGAGATAGCAATATTTAAGAAAATGCTCCGCAAACTTTGCACACACATTGCTAGTACTCCTAGGATGTTTGGTATTGCAAATGGGATATATCGGTTCATGTTTTGGTGTAGCCCCCATATTCGTACCAAAAACTCTAAGTATTGACGGGGTAATTATAAAACGGTACGCCTAATATTCAGTATTATGGACAAGTTTTTTTTTTAATTTCACTACCAAAAACTGATTAATAGTTACCAAATTTTCAGCGTAGCCCAATTTAATGGTAACGCCCAATATTCTGTACTTTGTTTCCTAGGAGTCCCCAATAATTTTAGATATTCTAAATGTCCACATTATAGTGGAATGTATAAAAGGATCGGCCGGGCCGAACTTAACATAGTTTTTCTTGTTTGCGTTACCAATAGTTCTTGGCTCCAGAGTCGTCTAAATTCGTAAAAGGTTATTTCAATGACTTCACCTCATAACCTATTTTGGAAAGTCAAATAAATGCAAGGTCTTATTGCATATATAGTTTTTAGTATAATTGACGGAGTATGCAGAGTTTATTTGTCATACTTATTACACTACCCATCGTTCAAATGGCTAAGCGATCAAATCACTCAAAATCCACAGTTATCTTTCAAGAGTTTGCATACTTAATAAAAAAACTTTGCTTGGACAATGTATTTATATTAGCATCTTGAGTCCAAAACTGCAGATTGAAAGTGTATTTCTATTGAGCTGATTTATTAATTTTAATTTTTTAATTAGCACCCACATAATATTTGCCATTGACACAGGGGTGTCAACTCTTATTTTTGTTTACATTTCTTGGACCATTAATCAAATACATAATAAAATAAAAAATAATGTTTAGAAGCTGGAGAAACTATACGAACGAAAGGAAAATGCAATCGCAAATTAAGACCGTTCGAACTTCCGGGATCATACTTAGATCTAGAGAAAGTGAAAAGAAAATTCAATGTTAAGTCTCCAAAAAAAGATTTGCCGTGGAAATGGCCCATTAAAATACCAACTTATTATTAGTTTTTTATATTTAAAATATATATTTAAAGTTTTAATATATGTATATTCAACTGGCTTTTTTAATAATATACCTCTCTTACAACTATTAGATTTCATGAAGAAATTATAAAATAATAGTAATAGTAATAAAATATTTAAATGTGTATAACATTGGTTCATCGTGGATTTATCCACACATAACTATATAATTCAGTTCAGATTACACATATATATATCTACAAATATATACGTATGCATAAATATATACTCTATATGTAAAAAATATTTTATACTTATTTACTAATAGTTGTTAATATGATACATTTAAAAACTATTGCAAAATTTCACTTAAGTACTAAAAAAACTTTCAATAAAATAAAAAAAAAATTCAACATTTTGTAAAATGTAATTTCTAGGAAGTTTTTATGTTTTTTGGTTACTGATTAATAGTTTCAGATCATTTGGAGGGTATTAATTGTTGTGAGTTAAAATTTTCAATTTCAGTTTTTTCTTGTTTCAGATTGAGCACATGGACTTGTTGTGTAAAACGTTTACCAATCGTAGGCTTTGTATTTTTTTTTATTGCCTTCGGGTAGGTAATGCCATTAAACGGAAGACGTTTTTTAAATGTATATTTTAAAGTTGTTTATAACTAGTTTGTGTTTCCTTTGAGGGGAGAAAGAGAGAGCAAAACATAAGTCTTAGGGTAAAAATTCTAGTCCAGAATCTGTGTTTGTTTGGCTTCCAAGGACTTGTGATATGATAATGAAATGGGGGTGGTTTTAAAATTTCTTTTTAAGACAATGAGAATTTAATTTCGTATCGTTGGGAAATTTGGCCTAAATTTTATAACCCTTTCGATTTTTCCTATACTTAATTTATTTAGTCCTGATTTAAATTAGGAAACTATAATTCGGTTGTTTTTTAATGAGATATCAGAGGTGCAATGGGTATTTGGTGCATAATTTGGCGTTTAAATATATATGGGAGCAATATCGAAATAGGAATCGATTTTAATAAAACTTAACACTCGGTATTCTTTGACCACTTTTATATGCTGTGCAAAATTTCGACTCCATCGGACAAATATTAGGCCAAAAAATTGGGACTTTGGGGCTTACGTGAAATCGGACCAAAATATGTACGGAAACTATATCCTAATCTGAATCGATTTCAATAAAATTTAATACAAGCCCTTCTATTCTCATTTTGAAACGCTGAACAAAATTTCGTCCCAATCGGACAAAAAATGGGCCTTTGGTACCACATTTACGAGAAATCGGAAGAAAATATATATGGGAGCTATATGTAAATTTGTACCGATTTCAATATAACTTAATACACGTCAGTCTAGTCCCAATTTGTTATGCTGTGCAAAATTTCGTCCCAATCGGACAAAAATTGGAGCTTTGGTGTTCCATTTAAGTGAAATCGGACGAAAATATATATGGGAGCTACATGTAAATTTGTATCGATTTCAATAAAACTTAATACACATCAGTCTAAACTCAATTTGATACGCTGTGCAAAAGTTCGCCTCAATCGGACAAAAATTTTGCTGTGCCAAATTACATATCAATCGGACAAACTTTGGGACCCATTTAAGTGAAATCGTACCAAACCAAAATATATATGGGAACTAATATATTCAATAAAACTTCCACTCAATTTAATACGCTGTGCAAAATCTCGTCCCAATCAGACAAAAATTGGGACTTCGTGGGCTCGATTTACATGAAATCAGACGAAAATTTATATGGGAGCTATATCTAAATCTTAACCGATTTTCTTAATTTTCAATGAGGTTCGTTCTTAGGCCAAATAAAGGGTCTGTGCCAAATTATATCTTAATCGGACAAACATAGGCTCTTTTGTGCTCCTGTTACGTGAAATCGGATGAAAATATACGTGGGAGCTATATCTAAATCTACATGGATTTCTTTCAATTTCTATAAAATTCGCAATGGGGTAAAATAAATGACATATGCCAAATTTCGTCTCGTTCGGATAAACTTTGGGTACGTGATGCACCATTTAAGTGAAATCGAGTGAAAATATATATGTGGGAGGTATATCTAAATCTTAACCGATTTGCTGCAATTTCTATAGGGTTCATCTTTAGACCAAATAAATGAGTTGTACGAAATTTCGTCTCATTCGGACAAACATTGGGTCCTTGATGCACCATTTACGTGAAATCGGTCGAAAATATAGGTGTATGCTATATCTAAACCCTAACAGATTTCCTGCAATTTCTATAGGGTTCGTTCTAAGGCTAAAAATAAATAAGTTGTACCAATTTGCATCTTATTCGGATGAAAACAGACGGGAAAACTGGACCTGCATAGATCGACTCAGAAAGCGCTTCAAAGATTTCAGACATTTCTCCAAACGATTTGGCTTACTTGATATTTTGTTTTCCCATTGGATGGTAAATCTTCCTACCAAAAATGATCAAAATTGGTACACCTTTTTGGTATAGCCCCCTACGGACGGATGGACATGCATAAATCGATTCTATGATTTCAAATCTGAATCAGATCAAAAAAGTCCCGGTTCATTTTTCCCGATTTTAAAGATTGAAGCCGCAATTATTCCACCGAAGAATTCCGGGAGAATGAAAAAACATTGTCCTACAAAATATAAGTCTTTATTTTTATATAGCAGATAATTTATAAAATGCCCCACCGATTTTATTTATATTGAATGGGCACCTTATTGTTCAGGGCCTAAAAAGTTCGACTCGGCCGAAATTATTGATGCAAATTATGATAACGTTTTGCCTACACTGTGTAATATTTAATAAACTAAATCAGGACTTATTTTTTTTACTATCGGAAGAAATAGAAAGGGTTCAAAAAAAATTTTAAATTATTTTAAGAAAAGTTTGGCCAAAATCTAGTTGCTAAGGACGAGGGCGAAATACACAGAAGGTTTCAAAATTAGAATTTTTGTAAGACGGAAAGCTGGGAAGAATATTTTTCCTATAAATTTTTCTCGTCCTGGAACTGACTGTGTTTGGCCCTCATCTTATATTCCGTTTTTTTGCCTTCTAGCAAAATTTGTTTTTAACAAATTTTAACAAAAGCCAAATCTTTTTTTTAATTTTTTTCGTCGATCTCATTTCCAAAGAAACTAAAATCCCAATATCGTAATACAAACGATTTTTTTCGCACCCATTGTTTTTTCTTCAAAGATTTTCGACATTTCATGCTGATGAAACATCCAAAAAGAAATTCAGTGTTACCAAACTAATGCAACCCAGCGACCATAGTAACACAAACACCAACCAATATGGGCTACGGAATGGACTTTGGAAATCATTGACCACACCGCTACCCAACAGCTCACGACATGTATTACGAGCATAATATACCAAAGCAATTGGTATAATATATTGGATTGCAGCCCCGGCATAACTGCCAGTAAATGCCACCAAACTGGTTAAACTTTCCGTAAAATAGGTAATGGCAAAGGGTGGTATTACCGTCAACATGGGGAACAAAATACGTCGTACAAAATAATTATACGATTCAAAACGACCCATATCTAAACATAAGGTTTGTAAATTATTTCTCAGCGTAATGGCTATGATGGGAAAACTGGCCGACAGTGTAAATACTGGAAATAATGCCAAAAAATAATCAATCCCCACTAGCAGCTCAGCAGCAAAACTATGATCATCTGTTTGATCGGGGATAAAATTCAAAGTGTACAAATCTTCTAAACGATCAAAGGCAAATATTCCCGTCATTGCCAATAGCAAATAAAATAAACAAATCACCAAATAATCTGCACACAAAATACGACTCACGGCCAATTTATCACGTATTGGGGCCAATAGGCTGGGCAACGAATGATGACACATAAAGGAATAAACACAGGCACCAAACAGCGCCGGTATACCATAGATATTCATTGACACGGGGTGGCCTTTAGCACCATCCGATATGAGCAATTTCAGGGCAATTGAGATCATGAAGAGGAAAGCTGCAAAAAAAGACAAGAACAAAATGTGGAACACGTTAATGACACATTCGCGTTGTTGTTTTTTGTTTTCCAACTCATACTACTTACCACACCATCTGAATATCACCGTAATGATTTGCAAATATTTTGTCTTCTGTACACTAAATGCAGCAAATGGTCCAAAGATACAAATAAAGCCAACCAAAAATAAGCGATAAACATTAAGGCGTGTCAGTGTGTGATTTTGCCAACACAGCTTAATGGCATCCTCATCGGTTTCATTGTTGGCAGCTGATAAATTCCATGATGATGATTCAAGCTCAAAATCGAGAGATGTGTAATTGGAGGGAGTGGTGGCATTTTGATGATCACTGGAAATGAAAAAAAGAACAAAAAATGACTGAAGGAGTTCTTAAAAGGTAGTTGAAAAAAATATTCTTAAAAAAAAACACGCTTTTGGTAGGCCTTTGAAAAAAAAAATATTCTTTAAAAAATCCACGCCTTTGGTAGGCCTTTGAAAAAAATATTCTTTAAAAAATCCACGCCTTTGGTAGGCCTTTGAAAAAAATATTCTTTAAAAAATCCACGCCTTTGGTATGCCTTTGAAAAAAATATTCTTTAAAAAATCCACGCCTTTGGTATGCCTTTGAAAAAAATATTCTTTATGCCTTTGAAAAAAATATTCTTTAAAAAATCCACGCCTTGTCTAAAGCCTTGAAAAAATATTCTTTAAAAAATCCACGCCTTGTCTAAAGCCTTGAAAAAAATATTCTTTAAAAAATCCACGCCTTGCATAAAGCCTTGAAAAAATATTTTTAAAAAATCCACGCCTTGCATAAAGCCTTGAAAAAATATTTTTAAAAAATTCACGCCTTTGGCAGGCTTTTGAAAAAATTGTTTTAAAAATCCGCGCCTTTCGTAGGCCTTGAAAAAATATTCGTTAGAAAATCCCAATATTAATTTCTACCTAAGTTTATTAAATTGGGAGTGAGGTATTTTAGTCGAAGGTACTAATCATTGATCTGAGTCTATTCACTTTATGGCTTAAGTTGTAACCCTTAAATGTTAATTGCTACCTGTTGCCTACTTAGCAACCAGATGTTGCAAACTACATAACTGGGATTAACGCAGATTAGCCATAACGTATTAGTTTCAAATTCAAAATGAAAGACCTACTTCAAAGGTATTGTTTAAATCTCTTCTGAGAAAACCCATTATCTGGCTCAAATTTGATTTAGGGCTAAACAAAGCAATATCTCCCCCTCTCCACTATATGGTCTTATCTAATGTTGTTTTTATTATTTTTGATTAAACACTTCGCCATGACGTCGTGTGTGAATCACCCGTCCGCCCCCCTATAAGAAATTGTTGTAATTTGATTTCGCTTAAATTTTTTTAGATTTGCTAAAATTTCAAATACGATAAACAAACAATAATCAATCACAAACTTACCAAAACAGATCACGTAAACTCTTCGCCACTGCCGCCGAGTATATGCTCAAATCACCATATAAATAAATTGAAATGCATAAATAAAATAGAACACGGCCAATGTCATTGAAGAACAGTGTGGCCATTTCACCTAATTCAAATTTCTCATCCAATTTATAATAGAGCAGTGTGGAATGTTGGGCATATATTGGCATACGTTCCAGACGTGCCGTAGCATCGATTTGTTGTTGATGAGACAATAGCGAAGCGGCCGGATCATCTGTTTCTACATCAGTTTCACTTTCAATTGCCACCGAATTTGGGCGGAGATCTTCACGGGAATCAAACTGGAAGAAAACAAAAAGAAAATAGAAACAAATTAGAGTGGTTTGGATAATCCCTCTTCCCTTTAGGAGGGGGCTAAGGATTAGTGCATGCACATAAATATTTATATGATTGTGAAAAAAAGTTGGGGGATGCCTACATCATAACTACGTTTAAGAACCTGTAAATTTTGCCACGTTTTGACAGCATTTGCCGATGCCATTGCCTCAATGATAAATGTCACCGTAATATAGGAGATAACAGCCAACAGAATAATAACAATCAATGATAACAGCCATCCTGCTTTGGCAAATACTCCGGGTAGGGTAAGGGCACCAGTGCCCACAATTAAATTGAAAATAAATATGAAACCAATCTGAAAAATGAAAAACAAAGTTATTTTAAATTGGGAAAAATAATTCCAAAAACTAACTTACCCATGTTGGATATGAGGCCACTTGGCTGTTAACACCCCCTATGGCACCAGCATTACTGCCAGATCTTCCAGCTCCAACGCCTTCAGGCATTTTATTTTAACAAAAATTAAAAAATTCCAAAACGCTTTCCACCACTGCTGACCGCCGCCACCGCTATGTGATACACACGGTCCCACGGAACTGAACTGCAGCAACTACTGTTGCTTCGCTATTTTCGAATAAAGGCCAATGTTATTTGTTTCCAGATGATAATTGACGAGGTTCTGGCAAAATATTCGAAAGTAGATAAAAAAAACTGCATATAGAATATTTCATGCGCTTAATGTTGTTCTGTTGTTTTGAACTTCTATCGTCTACAACAATTCCTTTGTGTCATGACCAGCACCGCCGCCAGCACACACTGCACTTCTCTGCGTCTTCATCGGTTAGTAAAACTGCGGGTTTTGCATTTCCAAATCAACGATCATTTCTTATCTTTTTTGCCGCAGTAATCCGTTGTTTTTGTTTCCACAGTTCAAAATACCACTGCTGCTGGATGAATAGTTTGGTTGGTTGTTATTTACTGCTTTATTGTGCTCCCAAGATTTTGTGTTATGTTTCTTTTCTTTGTGTATATTTATTTATTTGAGATTATACACAAACACTTTTTTGCATGTTGTTTTGCGTTGGTCTTCTTGTTTTCGAATGACGTTTTATTGTTGTCTACGTTTTCAACTTTCTTCTCTGTTTGGCAGGGTGCACTCATTCAGGTAGCTGACCATTTGACCCCGTTGTGAGAGAGTGGGAGAACGAGTGAGTTTTGTTAACACATGCCAACTTCATTCAATTTGATGATGTATCTTTAATGGGGACGAATGACAGGTGGCAAAATATCAGCTGTTGGCCTTTGCTTGCAATTAAGGCATGTTTATACATATGTCATTTGTTAGGGGAAGGGCATACTTGCATTTTATATCCTCATCTAACAAAAGCGTAGATTTTTTAAAGAATCACACAGGCGTGGATTTTTAAAGAATATGCTTTCAAAGCTTGCACAAGGCCTGAATTTTTTAAAGAAAATTTTTTTCAGGGGACATAGCAAGGCGTGGATTTTTTGATATTTTGGGGAGTATGGAAAGATTTTGGCGACCGAATTGTCAGTAATTTGGTACTTAGCATTCTAAGTGTGTAACACATTACTTTGTTCCATAAGCCGTGCTTAAAAAAGATTTCCAGGCGGGTCGGTCTTTTTCGCATCTCATCCAATTTGAAAGACCATTTTCCGAGATGTTGTCTTCTACTTGATCTTTCCATCGGATTCATGTCCTTTCCCTTCTGCGTGAACCATCACTTCTTTATATGCCTTTTAACCTATGACATCCATTATCACGACATGACCTAGCCAATGTAGTCGCTGCAGCTCGATTTGTCGAACTATGTCGATGTCCGAGAATAGACGGTATAGCTCATAGTTTATTCGACGGCGATATTCACCGTCGACGCAGATCGGTCCATAGATCTTCAGGAGAATTTTGCTCTCAAACACTCTAAGAGCTGCCTCATCTGCTCGCGCAAGTACTCATGTGACAGATCCATACAACAGCACGGGAGTATCAGCGTCTTGTAGAGTGTGACTTTGGTCTGGCGGAAGGTGGCGTTGTTCTTGAATTGCATACTCAGACCATAGTAGCATCTGTTGGCCAACACTATCCTTTTTCGAATTTCAAAACCGGTGTCATTAGTTTTGTTTATGGCGGTACCGAAGTATATAAAATCGTACTTTGACGCTGTAGTTTTCAATTTCCACAGTTGGTCCGAGTCTACTGGACGTCTGACACCATCAGCTTGGTATTCTCGTCATTTACTGTCAGTCCCACTTAGGCAGACTCCTTCTCAATTTGTTCAAAGGTAGCTGATACCGCTCAAAATGTTCGACCAATTATGTCGATGTCATGGGCATAGGCGAGTAACATATTTTGTTTGGTGTACAGAGTGTCATTTCTGTTCACATTTGCATCTCGATGACCTTTTCAAGCAGGATGTCTGAATCATCTTTCGGTTCCTTTCCTACTTATTCCTCTATAGTTGGCAAATATCGACTTGTCTCCTTTTTGTGCACGGGACACAGGATGCTGAGGTTCCAATCATTGGCATGCTTTCCAACTAGCCAAATTGTATAAATCAGCTGGCGCAAGCTCCTGACCAGCATCTGACAACCGGTCCTGAATAGTTCGGCTGGTATTCCATCGGCATTTGCTGCTTTATTGTTCTTCAGGCGATTAATTACTACTCTGGGGTATCTTTTTCACCGCCACTATTTGATACCACAAGCTTTTCAAAATGCACGATGTCTGTATTTCCTAAACACGATGTCTGTATTTGTCACTAGATTTCCATCTTCATCTCTACAGGAGGATGTGCCTACACCAAAGCGTTTGGTTTGGTGTTTTACTCGTTAGTAAAATTTCAGAACTTCATTCTGACGCCTGTACATCTCGATTTGCTCATTCTCACGTTTTTCTTGTTCTTTTGCTGCAGTTTGTAGGGAGTGGGCAATTCTTTGCAATTGTGCTTCTATACTATTATTGGGACAAGAAGTGCTTTCGTCAAGCAGGTGGGTAAGTTGAGCAGAGTAGGCCTCGGCTACCTGTTGTTTTTGCAGCCTTTCGACGTTGAGTTTCCGTGTTACATTAGATCGGACCTTTGCTGCTACATAAAGACGGGTGTGAACCTTGGCTGTCACAAGGTAATGTTCCGAATCGATATTCGATCCTAGTATCGATCGAACGTCTAATACACTGGATGAATGCCTTCCGTTTATCACAACATGATCAATTTGATTTCTCGTTGCTTGATCAGGAGAAATCCAGGTGACCTTGTGTATATCAAGATGCTTGAATCGGGTGCTGCCAACAACCATGTTTTTTGCTGCCCCGGAGGCAATCAACCTCATCCCGTTGTCAGATGTTTCTTCATGGAGGCTGGATTTTCCGACGATGGGACCAAAAATATTTTCCCTTTCCGATTTTTGCATTAAAATCACCTAGCAGAATTTTAATGTCGAGGCCAGGGCAGCGACCATATGCTGTTTTTAGGCGCTCGTAAAATATGTCTTTGGTCTGCTCATCTTTGTCTTTCGTCGGAGCATGGGCGCAAATAAGACTGATGTAGAAGAACTTCGCTTTTATACGGATTATAGCAATTCTCTCATCCACTTATAGTTCGTATGAGTGAACTCTCGGCACATATCAGCTCCCTATTTCAATGCATGATGAAAATAGCTACACCAGGTGACACCGCGGGGAGGTCAGTGTCCACAATTGAGATCAAAGAGGAATCAAGAAAAGCCTGGGCTTCGCCATGTAAAAGCCAATCAGAGCCTTTGCTTGGTATCTATCATCCTCTACGTCACCCGAATCCAGTATAACATAAACGTCCTATAATGGATTTGGATGTGTCAGAAGAGGAGTCTGTAATAGTGCTAACGACACCAGTCATGTCAGGGACGTACGCAGAGGGGGACAAAGGGTTACTAAATATACCCGCTTATTAAGCTTATGATCCTTTGAACTATTTTTTTGTTATTCATATAAGCTACTAACAGCTGCTTGTTATAATTGTTCTGGGTGTAAACCTGCTATAAGTTATATTGTATAAGGAACACATCTCATCCCGTTTATTTACATTTTCGCCCCCTTTCTTTCACATAACATTCGTAAACATTTCAAAACCACCCCACAACGAGGAACAATTTGCGGAAGGGTATAGGTTTGAAGCGCTCCGACATGTCCCGACCAATAACTTTTGTAACCGGCAATGCCAAAAAATTAGAAGAATTGGTGGCTATATTGGGTCCGAATTTCCCGCGGCAGGTAATATCGAAGAAAATCGATTTACCCGAACTACAGGGTGAAATCGATGAAATTGCCATTAAGAAATGTAAAGAAGCTGCCCGGCAAGTTGATGGACCCGTATTGGTTGAGGACACCTGTTTGTGTTTTAACGCGCTGAAGAATTTACCAGGTAATGTTTTTAATCAATACCAACAATTTTCACCTAGGGAATTATTTTATTTGTGTTTTTTGTTTGCTCCGACTAGGTCCCTATATTAAATGGTTCTTGGAAAAACTAGAACCCGAAGGTCTGCACAAACTCCTAACCGGTTGGGAAGACAAGTCGGCAAAGGCCGTTTGTACACTGGCATTTAGCGAGGGTAGTGATTGTGAACCCATATTATTCCAGGGTATAACCGAAGGTACAATTGTTGAACCACGTGGTCCCAGAGATTTTGGTTGGGATCCCATATTCCAACCGAATGGTTATAATTTGACATATGCTGAGATGCCAAAGGTGGAGAAAAATAAAATATCACATCGTTTTCGTGCCTTGGATGCTCTACAAAGGCATTTTCTAGAGGGTAGCAGTAATTCGAAATAAGATAAGGCAGACTGATCGGAACCAAAGTTATTTTGCATGCCTTAAGACGCTGTACATTGTGAGGAATTTATTTGAAATAAATTGTTTAAAAATAAATATTTTTAATAAAAACACAAAATAATAAAAAAATTATAAAACCTTCTAAATACCCTCAATAAAATTACCCAATAATATTCTTTAGACAAACCTTTAGGTCTTCTTGGGGCAGAATATCTATTGAGGTATTCTATAGACAGATGTCTTCTTGGTGTCTTCAAAAGATAAAAGACTTTGAGGTCTTCTACAGACAGACGACTTTTTGAGATCTTATATAGACTGCCCTGGTCATGACTTTAAAATTCTGCTAGGAGATTTTAATGCAAAAAAAGGCTGTCGGAAAATTCAGCCTTCATGAAGAAATATCCGACAACGGCATGAGATTGATTGACTTTGCGGAAGCAAAAAACATGGTAGGAACAACAGATTCAAGCATCTCGATATACACAAGGCCACCTGGATTTCTTCTGATCAAGCAACGAGAAATCAAATTGATCATGTTGTAATAGACGGAAGGCATTCCTCCAGTATTTTAGACGTTCGATCGATACGAGGAGCAAATATCTATACGGACCATTACCTTGTGGCATTGCCAAGTTCGCACCCGTCTTAATGTTGCAGCAAATGTGCGATCTAACACAACACGGAAACTCGACGTCGAAAACACAACAGGTAGCCAAGGCGTACTCTGCTCAACTTACCCACCTGCTTGACGAAAGCACTTCTTGTCCCGATAATAGTATAGAAGCACAATTGCAAAGAATTGCCCACTCCCTACAAACTGCAGCAAAAGCAACATTTGGGTACCAAAAATCACTACCAAGAAACCCATGGTACGACCCGGAGTGTCGTAATGGTACTGTTGTGAAAATCGCAGCGTATAGGGCAACCCCGCAGACAGTAGCAACACGTAACGTGATGGAGAATTATCGGGAGAAAAGGAGAGTGGATGAACGTATTTTCAGAAAAAGAAGAAAGAACAAGAAAAACGTGAGCGTGAGCAAATCGAGATATTCACGTTTCAGAATGAAGTCCGGAAATTTTACCAACGAGTAAAACACCAAACCGAAGGCTTTGGTGCAGGCACATCCTTCTGTAGAGATGAAGAAGGAAACATGGTGACAGATACAGACAGTGTGTTGAGGATCTGGAGGGAGCATTTTGAAAAGCTCCTGGTATCAAATAGTGTCGGTGAAGAAGATACCTCAGAACCAATAAGAGGTGATGGTATACAGTGTATACCACCTAGCCAAGATGAGGTCATAAAAGCAATTAATCGGCTCAAGAACAATAAAGAAGCAGGAGCCAATGGGTTATCAGCGAACTATTCAAGACTGGTGGTCAAATGCTGGTCAGGAGCATGCACCAGCTGATTAGTACAATTTGGCTAGAGGAGTGCATGCCCAATGATTGGAACCTCAGCAACCTGTGTCCCGTGCATAAATAAGGAGACAAGACGATATGTGCCAACTATAGAGGAATAAGTCTCCTTCCAATCGCATATAAAGTGCTATCCAGTGGGCTGTGTGAAGTCGGAAAGGACCTATCGGGGTCCTTCAATACCGAATGAGGATTCAAACAAGATGACAGTTTGTCGTGTGATCTTTTTAACATCCTGCTGGAAAAGGTCATACGAGACGCAAAGGTGAACAGAAATGACACTCTGTACACCAAACAACACATCTTACTCGCCTACGCCGATGACATCGATATAATGGGTCGAACATTGCGAGCGGTAACAGGCACCTTTGAATAAATTGAGGAGTCTGCCAGTAAACGGCGAGAAGACCAAGCTAATGGTATCAACGGGCAAGATGTCCAGTAGACTAGGACCAACTGTGGAACTTGAGAACTACAACTTCGAGGTAGCTAAAGATTTTATATACCTTGGTACAGCCATAAACAAAACGAATTACATTAGTTTTGAAATTCGGAGAAGGGTAGTGATGGCCAACAGATGTTACTATGGTAAGGAATTCAGAAACAAGCCCACCTCTCGCCAGACCAAACTCACACTCTACAAGACGTTGATACTTCCCGTGCTGTTATATGGATCTGAACCAAGGGTACTTCCGCAAGCAGAAGAGGCAGCTCTTGAGGTGTTTAAAAGAGAAAGGTTTCCTTAAAAAATCCACGCCTCGGTTAGGACTTGAAAAAATATTCTTTAAAAAATCTGCACCCTTAGTTGGCCTTTCAAAAATATTCTTTAAAAAATCCACGCCTTTGGTATATAATTTTCTGTGTAATTTTCCCTGCATTTAAAACACTTTTCTTTTTCGGGTTTTACATCTATTAATAAAATATATTATATTTTGTAGAATGCGGGCATCAGTTTCTTGTTGTTTTTGTTTTTTATATACAATAAAGTTTTTTTCGTAATTGTAAAATTATCAATATTTCTTTTTGAGATTTGCATCTTTCATTATTATTACTATATATGTATGTATATTTATAGGTTCTATTGTAAAAAAATATGTCGCTTAAATTTATTTCCACCTGCATGGCCATAGGTTCATTGTCGTCGAGTTCGTCGTTGGTGGAAATAAATCTAACGCGATAGTTGTTGTTGCTGTTGTAAATACTGCAATGAGTCCAAAAAAATTCCCCATCCCTCTTTAAGGCAACAATTTCTCTTCATCGGGACGCAGAGTACCAGCACTGCTATTTGTTACCACTTTAATGGGACCCGCCGCCGCACCCACTATCTTTTTGTTGGGATCATAGCCATACAGGAATATCGAAACAATTACCAAAGCAGCACCAAAAGCAAATTTAAATGTTAAATTAAAATCGAAAATATAAATTGAGGCCACACACGAGATGATAATGGCCAGCGAGGTGGCAAAACCTTTGAGTATATTATCGGCATATTTTACAACAACAGCCACAATTAGGCCACCACCGGCCTGCAGCAAAACCAAATACCATATGAACAGATCGTAGCCGAAAAAGAAGCCATGTTCGAATATTTTCGAAGCATCACTGACAAAACAGGTGATGGTGCCAAAGGGTAAACTTAACAGCGACAGCTGGACATTACGCATCCACACCGAGATATCGGCACCTTTGAGAATTTTCTCAAAATAGATACCAGCAAAACCGGAAAGGAAACAGGCACCCAATGCAGCCATTAGGCCCAAGAAGCGGTTTTGTTCCACCCCATTGGTGGTTTGTGCAGCAGCTCCCGAGGCATCTGTTACGGTTTGGGCCAATTGTACCATGACCACACCAATCAGTAGCAAAACCAATGCACCCCATTGAGTACTCAGCAACTTTTTCCGCAATATAAATACAGCAAACATAGCTGTGGTCAAGATTTTCAATTGATATGTCACCTGATAGGTGGCTGCATCCAAATGTGATGCCGATACATAGAGCAGATTATTTTGTACAATATACACCAGCGAGGGAACGCACACTTTTAGGGTATCCGTGGGATTGGCAATGATGGTTTTGTGTAATGTCTTGACGAATTTTTGAAAATCTTTACCCTCTTCGTTAAAGACCAAAATCAGGCAGGTTATTAGTTTTACCACTTCGGACATAAGAACGGCTGGAAAGGGAGAAGAACAAATTTTATTAAATTTGAATAATTCAATGCATTGCAAAAGAGATGCCGGTGATCTATGGAAGAAGTAGTTTTTTTCAAGGGAAATATTTAAATAAAATAAATCCTTATTTATGTAATTAATATTTATATCAATTCCATTAAATTTTGAAACACCCTCTACATAATTTAATTAATATTAATTAAATTGTGTGAGAGCGGTAAGGAGGTAATTTCTTCATTCTTATCTATTTTTTACTGTGTTAAGAAAATAATTTCTTTTTGAGTGGTACAAGAGACATTTTACAATGTAGAGGGCAAAAGAAAAAAAACACTTCATATCATTCTTTATCGGGAAACCGAATATCATTGCCACTGCTCTGCTCTGATAAGAAATGTGTGTGTTTCTTCGAAAAACAATTTCTGTCATAGCATAACACATTGCATCTACATATATATATATCGATAGATAAATATATGTGGTTGTTTTCTATTTATTTGGAGGTATCTGGAGATCATTTGAAGGTATATACTGATAGATGGCCCCCAATTGATCTGTATATAGGAGACCTTATGTATGTATCTTCTTAATGGAAGATCTTCAGTGGGTCTCCTATCGCTAGAAGAGCTTCTGCAAGTTGCAAATATTTCCATTATCCCAGTAGAACCATCTATAGACATTCCCCAGACCTAATTTTTTGATCCCTGAAAAAATCATTAAAAAGTCCAAGTTTATTGGTCTGATGGTGCCGGAAAAAAATCCACCCTTAATGGTCTAGTGGTCCCTGAAAAATTAATCCTAACAAAATCCACTCCTATTTCTCTTCTGGTGCTTTGATAAATAATAACCTGGTCCTTTGGAAATTATTGTTTAAATTCCACCCTTATGGCCAAAGGATTCCTGAAAAAATATTCCTTAAAATCCACGGCTTATTGGTCTCCCGGTCCTTTGAAAATTATTCTTTAAAAACCTGCGCTTATTGGTCTTCTGATCCTTGGAAAAATATTCTTTAAAAATCCACGCTTATTTGTCTCCCGGTCCTTTGGAAAATATCCTTTAAAAATCCACGCTAATTGAAGAATATCCTCTAAAAATCCTCGTTATTTTTCTCCTGGTCCTTGTCTTCTGATCTTTGCAGAAAATATTCTTTAAAAATCCACGTCTATTGGTCTCCTGATCCCTGGAAAAATATTCGTTAAAATATCCACGTTTATTGGTCTCCCGGTCCTTGGGAAATTATTCTTTAAAAATACATGCTCATTGGCCTCCCGGTCCTTGGAAAAATATCATCTAAAAATCCACGATTATTGGTCTTCTGATCCTTGAAAAATAGTCTTTTAAATTCACGCTTATTAATCTGGAAAATATTCTTTAAAAATCCACGCTTCTGGTCCTTTGAAAATGAATCTTTGAAAAAGAATCTTTAAAAACCTCTGTTTTCGGTGGCGGTGTTCCACGGACCTTTACCCCATCAGCACTTTTGAATAGGCCTGCAGCTCTAAAGGCGGTTTTACGTAATTTTAGACATCTCTCTCAAAATTGTCGCAGCTACTTCCACTGGCTGCAACCACATAACTTCAGGAGTAAGATGAGTAGATTTGGCTGGGCAATTAAATAAGTGCAGTGTGGTATGAGGGCACGTGTGAGACATAGGGTAGACACTTGGCGATTGGTTTTACAAATTTTTATGATTTAAAACTTTACTCTGAATATATAGGTATCATTTCAAAGACCTCGCGTTTGTTCAGTTAATATTAATTTTTTACAGGGTACCGTGTTGAATGTAGAATGACGTATATGACCTCTTCTATATATCCAAAGCGGCGTTAGGTTCTCTATTAAATAACTTCATCTTTATTATTTCAAAATACGGCAACTTTTCTTTGAATACCAAAAAGTTTATTGAATCACTTTGTAGTCCCGAAATTAAATAGCTAAATTTCTCCTCTAAAATATTTAATTACACTAAACATTGCACTCAAATCAAAAGTTCCAACTTACTTTGCCATGTGGTCCATTGTGAGTGGGCCAAAATAAATTCACTCTATGACTTCACTTTAATATCATGATAATAGAACACATAACCTGTTCACCTGTAGGCTATTAAATATGAATATAATTGTACACAAACTACTTCTTCCACCACGTACGGATCCAGAGTACCTAATTATTTTCCAACAAATAATAAAATTTCAACTTACCCGTTGAACTAAGGAAAATATCACCCGGTCTCGTTCTGGCATAACGCATCGATAAGCCCAAAATTGCATTTTGTAGAGTTAGGGTTATTAAACTGATATATTTCAGATGATTGGCATTGACTGGAAATGAATGAGATTTTCGGAATTTATTAATGATGGTCATTTGTTTAACTAAAAAGGGCTCGAAGGCGATGACAACACCACACAACAAACAGTACACACAACCAGTCAACAAGAAAAGACCCAAAGTCTCGATGATGATTTATTGTAATACCAACAACTTCACACAATATTTTAATAGATTGTGGTAATGGCATCAACTATTGTCTTGTTCCAAAAGTGGTTAGTTGTGTTATATTTGCTCATCATTTGCTGCTGCTGCCAGTACTTACTGTGTATATTCATTTTGTTGTTGGGCCCCTGCCGTGTTGTTGTTACTTCTTTCCTTTTATTGACAAGTGTTAAAAAAACAGCTGTATAAACTTCACTTCTTCTGCTGCTGCTTGATGTAATAGCCTTTTTGGCAAGATAATTTATTAATTGGATGCTGCCTTTTCTGGGTCCAAATATTTAATTTACAAATAAAATAAATAACAACAAGTGAATGCCTAACTAACTACATTCCTTCCCAATCTTGCTGTGATTTGATTCCGGTCGGCACAATCAAATTGAATGGGTTCTTGCTTGTTCAAACAGAAAATAGGCAAAGAAATGACTGATAGAAACGTCAAAATTCCACGTAAACAAAAATTACAGCCAGCTGAGAGAGAGAAAGCAAGCGGCAATCGTATTCTGAGAATTATGTGAGATAACACATGCATGCTCTCTCACACTTCCTCATCCATACTGTTATTTTGTTTGTTTACTTTTGTTATTGCGTTGACTGCGTCTTTTCAGAGATGGCATCTTTGCGGTGTGTGCCAAAGAGTACCAAAGAGGTCGCAGAGTGACAGAGAGAGAGAGAGATAGTGAGAAACCAATAAGAAAAGTTTTATAAATTAAGGCGGGAATTGATGGAAATTGTAAATAATTATTAAAAAAAGGGAAAAATTAAATAATCTACAAATAATTTTAATGGAAATCAGTTAACATTTAATGTATTTTAACCGAAAATATATCAAATGTAAATTAACTGAGAAATACCAAGAGAATCCCATCTCTGGCCATTATTTGCCGCTACTTGAAAATTCATGCTGCTGCTGGCTGACTGGCTGGCTCCATTGACAAATGTGTTTATTTGCTTGGGGCTATGGACAAGTGGTTTGTTCAGTTAATTTTTTTTTTTTAAATTTGAATTTGAAATATGAAAAAATACCCTACATTAAGGCAACAAGGGACCATACATTAAGGCAACAAGGGGCCATACATTAAAGCATCAAGGGATCTTCGAAGAACTTGGTCAGATTTGTGAAATAATTAAATGGAAAAAATAACTCTTTTTTCATTTAGATTCCAGAATGAATGATTAAATAAGGGTGGCACATATGACAATAGTTCTCGGATTTTTAACAGATATATAGACATTATTTCGAGAAAAAGTTCAGTGTAAACTCCATAAGAATTTTATTCTGATCATGAATATAATAACTACTTTATGGGGTCTCCGACTATTATTTCGAGGTTGCAAAACGGGATGCCAAGGTTAATAATCTTTCTACCTTATGTTGGAAGATATAAAAAAATCGGACATCCAATACCTTCTGTAAAATAACAGCTCTTCCGGCCGCATTTGAAAATCCAATCTCTATTTAGTTGAACCATGTATGCCAATTGTAGAGTATCATAGAACACCACCAACCTATCATTACTCTTATCACTCAAGCACATAAAATTAGTTTTCAGTAAAGCGATAAAAAATAATGATTTTTTTCTAATGTAGTGTTGTTGATATCTTCAGAACACCACGGACGTCATTTCCTATTATATACTATTTAATGTTGAATTTACCAAAGAAGAAAAAATCTCAGCCTTCTCATTATGCTCTTGGTGAGATTTAATGTAAAGGGTTATAAAATTAAAATATTTTGTTAAGGATTTTTATAAAATAATTCTTAATAACTATTTTTTAAGGATGCGAAGAATTTTAAAGAATATTTTTTAAGCGTGGATTTTTTTAGGAATATTTTTAGCACTATAAGCCTGGATTATTTAAAGAATATTCATAAGCATGGATTTTTTAAAGAATATCTTTTCCACTCTAAGCGTGGATTTTTTGAATTTTTTTCCACTCTAAGAGTGGTTTTTTTGAATTCTTTTCCACTCTAAGCGTGGATTTTTTGCATTTTTTTCCACTCTAAGGGTGGTTTTTTTGAATTCTTTTCCACTCTAAGGGTGGATTTTTTAAAGATCAATTTTTTAAGTACCTTAATAGGAGTTGAATTTTTTAAAGAAAATAAAACAATCATCACATATGTTTAGAATTCCTTAACATTGGACTTATATTTTAAATATTTTTATATTGGTAGGTTCTTAATTTCATTTATTTACGATAAAGACGCGTAGAGTATGCAAATAAGAGTATAAAATAGATATGAAAAAGAAATAGAAGTCATGTGGAATATGATTATGAAGAAACAAGAAAATATGACATAAATGATGAATAAAAAATATATGTAGTAGAGGAGGAGGTTGATTAAACTAAACACATAATAATTTAAGAGATACATATGACGAGGACATGGAACTCTGGAAAACAAAAATACATACACATATGTGTTATGAAAGCTGCGTGAAACATATTTTTCAGTTTTAGTTTTTCATTTCATTTTTTGAGATAGTTTAACAAAACACGCTTTTTTGCAATCATCATCACACAATCTTAATCATCTAGGGTGATGTGTAAATTGGCAGAGGGATGCAAACCGATTTCCTTCAGTGTACACGCATTATGTTCCGATTCTAGAGTTTTTCGAGGAAAAGCACATATTAGCTTGTAGCCAGCTTTTGGAATATGCGAATGACATTGTCGTATGTAGGAGTGTAGTACCTCCACTTTGGTATCGGAGGGCCAACGTAATTGTACGACTTCATCGGCACCTTCGGCATTGATCACACGTAACTTCAGCATGGTCAGTTCGGATTTATTTGCGCCCAATTGTTCCTCGTAGGAGGTACGTTCACAGGCAGCCTTAGTATCGTCTTCGTTAAACTCCTCCACACTGCCCAACTCACTGGCGGCATCTTCGCCATCATCATTGTCCTCGTCGTCACTGTCATCTTCATCGATGATGCCATTCTTTTTGCGATTTTTACCAGCACCACCATTTTCCTTCATGGAATTACGTATGGCCAAGGCAATTTGTTCATCTTCCGAGAGTTCCATTATTTTATTACGTTTCTTCGGATTTTTCCCACCGGACTTCACCGATGAAACGCTGCTGGCATTGGAATTACCTTCATCAGCATCGGCATTATATTTACTAGCCTTGGCATTAGTGCCGTCATCATTATCATCGTCGCTATCCAGGCAAATGGCAGTGGCTGAACGTTTATTGGAAGTTGATGGACCACAATCATCAGCTAGTTCTTGGCTAAAGTCTTTGTGTTCCACCAGGAATTGCTGGAGTTCATTTAGCAATACGGTGGCCTGTTTGGGTTTGGGACACTTCCACATCTCCTCACCCGTGCGGGGATCAATAACACACACATATGGAATTTTGGCACAATGATAAAAGGCCACAAAACGTCGACCCTCCGAAGAATCGCCATCGACCTGAAAGAATACACACGGGATTTATAATTGTGGTAATTTTTAAACGAAGTCCATTTTACTAACCTGCCACAGCAGAAATTGCCTCTTCATCAGCTTTCGCAATGCCTTGTCCGACCACACATCCCTATTTAATAGCTGTGAATCGAAATTATCACTTTGAACATTCACCAGCAACCATTGATGCAGTGCCTCGGCACGACTTCTAGCCGCCTGCATGCTACCGGCAAATGCAATGTCTGTTGGTGGTCGAAACAAATCCTCCAAACGGCTCTTTTTCGGTTCAGCCATTTGGGCAGCCGCAACCATATCTGCTGCCCGATTTCTACGCGACGAACTGCGACTATGCGTCGCCGTCTCGTACAGATTATCCAAGGCCACATAACTGCCGGCCTCCTGTTGCTGCAACTGTTCCTCCATGAGAGCACCCTCCCGGGCGAAATCCCGTAGTGGACAGACCTTAACACGCCTTGTGCTACGCAATCGTGGTGGTGGTGCAGCAGCATAAAAATTATCATCTTCCGGTCCGATCAGTTGTTCACGTATCGGAGCAATGGGTGCCCGCACTCCATCATCATCGCCACCGATCAGCGGTAAATTGGCATCATCACTGGCCAGTTGGCTGGTACCACCACCTTCGAAAAACAACGCAACTGCAGCATCCACTTCATTATTGCAAGCGGAGAGTAGATGTTTTGCCTCCGCCTCAGTTGTTCCTGTCACTTCACAAACACTCTGCACCAATTCACTGGGTATTTGGGACATGTTAGCTTCCCAAATGTGTTCTGGATATCAGCAATTACTTGGTAAATTTTGTGATTTTTTGCCAATAAAATATGTTTTCACCCCACTCGCTTAAATCGAAATTAGGGTTCAGCAGATTGAAAACGAGCAGAGCAAGGGTAAACTAGAGAGGAATGATGACAAAAGCTATAGGGGTTTGTAGGTTGTCATTTTGTTGGTGAGTGCAACTAGTTCATTTAATTCATTAAAATGAATAACACTATTTGTTCGGGTGAGAAAACAAATTCAAAAATTGATTTAAATTTGGTTTTAAATTAATATTTTTTTTAATATCCAACCCTAAAAATATGAATATTTTTTTAAAAAGTCAACTCATTTAGTAAAAAATATTGTTTTAAAAAACTGCTGCTTTACTAAAAAATCATTCTTTTAAGAATCCGCGGCTTCAGTATTTTCTTTTTTTTATTCCCTTTAGTGGAAACAAATTTAAAAATATCAAAACCTTTAGTGGAAAAAAATTAAAAAATCAACGGCTTTAGTAATTTATTTTTAAATCAACGCATTTAGTAAAAAATATTTTTTTATAAATTTTTATTTTGTTAGTGGAAAAAAATTCAAAAAATCCACGACTGTAGTGGAAACTTTCTTTTAAAAAATCTACGCCTATTGTGATAAAATATTTTTTTAAAATTTCTACTGCTATTTTTTTTAAACTCACGCCTTTTGTAATAAAATATATACTTTTTAAATTTCTACTACTAAAGTCTTTTAGTAGTAGAAATTCACCTATTGTGATAATTTTTTTTTAAATCCACACCTATTATAAAAAAAATATGGTTTTAAATTTCTCAGTACAAAATAGTGTTTAAAATATACACGCTCATAAAGTGCTAAAAATATTGTTTATAAAATCCACGCTTATAGTGCTAAAAATATTGTTTAAAAATTCCACGCTTATAGTGCTAAAAATATTGTTTAAAAATTCCACGCTTATAGTGCTAAAAATATTGTTTAAAAATTCCATGCTTATAGTGCTAAAAATATTGTTTAAAAATTCCACGCTTATACAAATATATTGTTTAAAAAATCCACGCTTATAGTGCTAAAAATATTGTTTAAAAAATCCACGCTTATAGAGTGCTAAAAATATTGTTTAAAAAATCCACGCTTATAGCGTGCTAAAAATATTATTTAAAGAATCCACACTTATAGTGCTAAAAATATTGTTTAAAGAATCCACACTTATAGTGCTAAAAATATTGTTTAAAGAATCCACACTTATTGTGCTAAAAATATTGTTTAAAATATACACGCTTAGAGTGCTAAAATTATTGTTTAAAAAATCCACGCTTATAGCGCTAAAAATATTGTTTAAAGAATCCACACTTATAGTGCTAAAAATATTGTTTAAAATATCCACGCTTAGAGTTTTTAATTGTTTTTTAATTTGTTTTTAAATCAACGCATTTAGTAAAAAATATTTTTTTATAAATTTTTATTTTGTAAGTGGAAAAAATTCAAAAAATCCACGACTGTAGTTGAAAAATTCTTTTAAAAAATCTACGCCTATTGTGATAAAATATTTTTTTAAAATTTCTACTGCAAATTTTTTTTAAACTTACGCCTTTTGTAATAAAATATATACTTTTTAAATATCTACTACTAAAATCTTTTAGTAGTAGAAATTCACCTATTGTGATAAATTTTTTTAAATCCACGTCTATTATAAAAAATATGGTTTGAAATTTCTAAGAACAAAATAGTGTTTAAAATATACACGCTTATAGTGCTAAAAATATTGTTTAAAAATTCCACGCTTATAGTGCTAAAAATATTGTTTAAAAATTCCACGCTTATAGTGCTAAAAATATTGTTTAAAAATTCCACGCTTATAGTGCTAAAAATATTGTTTAAAAATTCCACGCTTATAGTGCTAAAAATATTGTTTAAAAATTCCACGCTTATAGTGCTAAAAATATTGTTTAAAAATTCCACGCTTATAGTGCTAAAAATATTGTTTAAAAATTCCACGCTTATAGTGCTAAAAATATTGTTTAAAAATTCCACGCTTATAGTGCTAAAAATATTGTTTAAAAATTCCACGCTTATAGTGCTAAAAATATTGTTTAAAAATTCCACGCTTATAGTGCTAAAAATATTGTTTAAAAATTCCACGCTTATAGTGCTAAAAATATTGTTTAAAAATTCCACGCTTATAGTGCTAAAAATATTGTTTAAAAATTCCACGCTTATAGTGCTAAAAATATTGTTTAAAAATTCCACGCTTATAGTGCTAAAAATATTGTTTAAAAATTCCACGCTTATAGTGCTAAAAATATTGTTTAAAAATTCCACGCTTATAGTGCTAAAAATATTGTTTAAAAATTCCACGCTTATAGTGCTAAAAATATTATTTAAAAATTCCACGCTTATAGTGCTAAAAATATTGTTTAAAAATTCCACACTTATAGTGCTACAAAAATATTGTTTAAAAAATCTACGCTTATAGTGCTAAAAATATTGTTTAAAAAATCCACGCTTATAGCGCTAAAAATATTGTTTAAAGAATCCACACTTATAGTGCTAAAAATATTGTTTAAAATATCCACGCTTAGAGTGCTAAAATTATTGTTTAAAAAATCCACGCTTATAGTGCTAAAAATATTGAAAAAAAATCACGCTTGTAGTGCTAAAAATATTGTTTAAAAAACCACGTTTATTGTTCTAAAAATATTGTTTACAAAATCCACGCTTATATTGCTAAAAATTTTCTTTAAAAAATCCACATCCGTTAAAAAGTATTAAAAATATTTTTTATTAATTTTATTTCTTTTGTTAATTGGTAATTGAAACCACTGTGTAGAGTTACTGTAACTTTTCTTTAACTTCGTTTCTTTTTTCTTTCCTTTGTATTTCTTTTTCATTTGATTTCGTTTGTCAAAATCAGCTGTTTGGGGGCCATCCAGCCAATTGCCACACAACACACAGCCCCAATGGAGAGCAATCAATTGTGTTCTGTAACTCGGTGAGAGCGGTTCATCTATCGGGTAATCGGCGTTAATCAAATCGTGTCTGTCTGTACGTTTGTGTGTATTATTGTGTCTATTTTTTATATTCTGTTTGCAAAAAAATTTTCTTCTTTGTTGCCTTAATGCACAAGTTAACTACCGATAAAAAAGTGAAAAAATAAAATTAACAAAAAAGAAGCAAAGAAATGTGGAAATGTTTATACATGAATTGCCGATGGAATGCAATGATTTAATCTATAATAAAAAATTGTGAAGTTTTTTCCCCAATTAAAAAAATCTCCTACCATATGATGAGTAAAAGAATGTAAAAAAAGGAAGAACAAAAATTGCAGAAAAAATATGAATGCCTTCAATGCAAAAATATAATAGAAGTGTAAAACAAGCAAGAAGCAGCAAGCAAAAGAATCTTTTGGCGAGAGTGAATGGTGGTTAGACCACAAGTACAAGTGTGTGTGGCTCTGTGTGTGCGTGCTTACTTTTCTCTGCATAGTAGAGAGCAGTAGTGTTGTATTGTGCTGCATGCTCTGTACTCTTTTGACCGCCTCTGCTGCTGCTGTGTAATCATGTTATCGTCTTGTTGTTGTTATTGTTCTTCCGTTGTGTGATGATGTGTTGTCAATGAGAGTTTATTGGGAGAGTTGTTGTGTTGTGTGCCCCCTATCCAATCAGACATTGTTGTCTTGCGTGTGTGTGTGTGTGCTAAGTGAAAATAAATAAATAAAAACAAACAAACAAAAAAAGAAGTCCAAATTAAAAGTTAACGAAAATTAAATAACAACACAGTAAAAATATAGAGTTTCATTATTTTTTCTCAAAGAATTTCCATTGTTTACATTTGAAAAAAATAAGAAAAAAAAAATACAGAAATAAAAGCGCAACAGTGTCATCAAAGAAAAAAGAGAGAGCGAGAATTTTCTTAAGCAACTTTTGCTGCTGCTTGCTTCCTCTTTTTCCACAACTCCCAACTTTCCATGCTGAAGATATTGTATTGTGGTATTTTCGATTTCCCTAACAAAAAACTGGTCTACACAAAAAAAAAACATTTCTAAATCAAAATGGTTTCACTTATCAAAAATCAACTGCTGAAGCATCTGTCAATGTAAGTATTTGTTGTTTGTTATTTATTTTTCAATTGTACTTCAGTATTTATTGTATATGTAGTGTTTTTGTTGTTTTAGTTTCGCATTTTTTGCAATCTGAGTTGTTGTTTTTTTTCTCAATTGCTAACCATATCACTTATGGTCGGGGTGTTGCCAGATGGATCGTATTAAATTTGGTAGAAAATACTGATGAGTCAAAAGATTAAAAATAAAAAAATCTATGAAAATGTAATTTGAAAAACGGTTCCTTAGAATCACTTTTTAAGTCTATTTTTTATACCCTTCACACTGTATGTTAAAATGTAAACAAAGTACTTTGTGCATATGTTTGTAACGAATTGGATGAAATTTGACACAGCTCATTTATTTCGGTTCACTTTATATAGTCATATATATTTATGTCCGTCCGCCTGTCTATGTTAAAATGTAAACCAAGTACAGGTCGCATTTTGATTCGAATTGGATGAAATTTGGCACAGCTCATTTATTTCGCCCAAGGACGAACCCTATTAAAATTGGGAGGAAATGGTTCAGGTTTAGATATAGCTCCCATATTTATTTTCGACCGATTTTAGGTAAATGGTGCACCAAAATCCTTTTATATCCTTCGATTGACACGAAATTTGGCATAGCGTATTGAATTGAGTCTAGAATGATGAGTGGTAAGTTTCGAGAAAATCGGTTCAGATTGCGATATAGCTCCCATATATATTATCGTCCAATTTAAGGTAAATGGTGCACCAAAGTCCCTATATATCTTTCGATTTAAACGAAATTTGGCACAGCATACTAAATTAAGTCTAGAGTGATGTTTGTTAAGTTTCGTGAAAATCGGTTCAGATTTAGATATAGCTCCCATATAAGTAAGTAAATAGTGCACCAAAGTCCCTAT